TGGATGTTCATCTAAGATCAGCTTTGCAGCTTTGTTCTCTAAAGTTTGAAGGGAATCCATCAGCACCGAATTGTTCTTATCACCCCAAATGGTATCGGCATAATCAAACAGTGGCAGTATTAGAGACGTATAAAGAATATAACGTGTATCCAAGTCCAAGAAATCTTTGATGCGTCGTAGAACACCAAGTCTTTGATTAATTTTGGAGATCGTTTTGTCAATATGCTCGTGCCAAGATAAATCTTCACTAAAAGTAACTCCAAGATATTTCATTGATTTCTCCTGTGATACTTTTTCGTTCTGAATCGTGATGTTTACATTGATAAACGACTGCTTTCTGTTGGTAAAGATCATGAACTTGGTTTTCTCGTAGTTTAAAGTTAGGAGATTGTTATTTAGCCAGTGTGAAAGTGATTGTAAATCAGCGTTTATTTTAGCTTCAAGCTCCGTTGTTGACTTTGCAGAGTAGTACAATAATGTATCATCAGCATAAAGAATCGACTTACAGTTATTAAGACATTGAGGCAAGTCGTTAATGAATATCAAGAAAAGTAACGGGCCCAATATGCTTCCTTGCGGCACACCAACGGTGACTGGTTTTGCACTCGATGTTGAATTGTTGATAGATGTGACTACTGTACGTGATGACAAATAGGACGTGAACCAGTTAATGACAGACTTTGAAAAACCAAGATTTCTTAATTTCAAAATTAGCAGCTCGTGATCTACCGTGTCAAACGCCTTTCGCAAGTCGATAAAAACTGCACCGGTAACCAATTTATTGTCGAGATTGTGCAATATTTCCTCAGTGAGTTGTGTCAAAGCAATGCTTGTGGATAACTTAGGGCGAAAACCAAATTGTTCTGAGGTGATTAGATCATGCTCTTGCAAGTACTCATACACTTGTCTGTGAACTATGCGCTCCATTATTTTACTTACGATTGGTAAAATAGTTATAGGTCTGTAATTATTAGGAGATGTTGGGTCATTGGATTTGAAGAAGGGAATAATCTTGCCTTTTTCCAAATATCTGGGAATGTTTGTGAAACGAACGAGGCATTAATTATCTTTGTTAGACCAGATGCTATAATAGAGGAGGAATCTTTTAGTAACTTTGCGCTGATTTGATCTAGACCGGTGGCTTTATTTGTTTTAAGAGATCCGAGCTCTCGAAGAATGAAGGACTCGTCTACTTCTTTGAACTCAAAACTGTACGGTAGATCAGAGGATAGCGGTGGTTTTTTAAGTTGAAATGTACTCTTAATCTTATCTGCTAGTTTTCTTCCAATAGATGTGAAATACTCGTTTAAAATTGTTGCTATGGATTTTTGGTCAGTGATGGGTTTTTCTTCAGAGATTATACATGACGGGTTTGTACCAGATTTACTGCGAGATGTTAGTTCATTTAATGTTTTCCAAAGTTCAGAGGGATTATCCTTATTAGCGTTCACGGAATCTTGATAGTACTTAGATTTTGCTAGCTTAATTTGGTTGTTAATATAATTTCTGAGTTCTCGAAACTTTTGCCAATGATATTCGGAGTTCGTTTTATGTGCTTGTTTCTGGTGGTAATCACGCTCTCGCATTAATTCTGTAAGTTCCGGTGTGATCCAAGGAGATTTGCTCGTGCATTTAACTCGTCTGGTTTTAATGGGAGCGTGTTTGTCTGCAGTTTCGGAAAATTTATTGCACCAAGTGTTTACTGCGTCATTGATATCAGTTATCGAATCCAAGAATGACCAATCAACGTTCTCAAGATCGAGATTAAACTTTAGTTTATTGTATTGTTTGTAGCAACGATAGTTTATGTCGCGGAAATTTCCACCTGATTTAGCAACACCTGCTTTAATTACACAAAATATCAAGGAATGATCACTGAGATCCAAAGAAAAAACTCCGCTTCCTACCACGCGATGAGCATTGTTTACGAATATAAGATCGATTGTTGATTGATTTAATTGTGTTATTCTAGTTGCCGACGTGATGAGCTGTTCGAAAGAAAACGCACGCGCAAGTGTTTGTAGTCGTGATTTGGCTGTTGATCTTCGTTGGTAATCGACATTAAAATCGCCCAATAACATTACTTCAGCATTTTCTTGAATTTCAGATAATTAGTTGTTGAGTTTATCAATGAATTTCTCAATATCAAAATCAGGTGGTCTATAAATTGAAGAAATAAATAGCGACTTTGTGCTAGGACGTATGATTTCAATCCAACAGGTTTCAATGTCACTGTTTTGCAAATCCCCTCGCGAGCGATAAGGTAGACCATTACGGACATAAAACGCCGTTCCCCCACCAGTTTTGTCAGTACGATCATGTCGAGTAATTGAATAGTTAGGAATTTCTATTTCTGCGTTGGTAGTTGAAGGTTTTAGCCAAGTTTCTGATAGAGCAATTACGTCAAACGGGTTTTTGCTGATAAATTGACGCAGACTGTCAATTTTAGGAAGCAGACTTCTCACATTTAAGTGGCATACCTTGAGTCCCCTTGTACGACATTCTTTAATTTCAAAGTTAAAAGGACCAGGATTACTTTCCACATCTCCAGATAAACTTATCAGTATAGCAGCAAGAGAAGTATTTAAGAAAAGTCTTGTTCCAATTAGTAGTAAAGTAGAGTTTGCCAGAGGTTTCCGTTTAAAAGTTGACTTGCGTGAATTTCCGTTAAACTGTGGTTTATGACTTGCGAGTTCTTTAGATATGAAAGTAATTGCTCGATTGTTTTCAGTGTGTTTTCTTCCTTTGTTTTGGATTGTTATACCACCCAAAATTAAGTAAATGTACAAAATTATCACTAAATTGTACGAGCGTAAAAATCCGCGGCCAACCGCCATGGCGGCGCACGCGCTTTTCACCTTTCACCTTCACCTTCGCGCTTCACTATTCTCGACCTGAATACTTGAAGATTGCAAAGCATTTGAACTTTGAAGCGAGAGATGTTGTACACTTGTACTTGTCATGGTCTGATGAATTTCAACGCTATACGCGCTGCTACTTGCTGGACAGCAATGTATCGATCAGATATGTATTCATACAACTAAACCAACGTCTGAATAATTGCAAACTTACTTCAAAGTGGAAAGGTATCGTACAATGAAACTTTACAATGCGAGTGTATTTGTAAAATTATGTGCAAGAATTTCTGTTCAGAATTTCCCCGTGCAGGATTGTCTGATCCTGCACAGCTGTTGACCAATCAAATTGCGTGTTTCACTGTAGTTATTATATAAATAGTTTTACTCACCATGTTGTTAATTTGTGTTGGTCTACAGCAAGATTTTGTTTTGCTTTCGCTGCATTTCGAAGGGAAACTATATTAATATACGACAGAAAGCCTTCGCTATAACTATAAGTTTGCCTCGGCTGAAACGGCTTCGAAATTTTATATTTATACTAGAAACACATGCATGCAGTAACCCATCGCCAATATTTTCCAAACATTAAATTAACATGAAGTATTCAGAAATGGCTGAAATGCTTCGTAAAATGTTTTGAAATGTTCATTCAACTATAGTTCATTTGCCGATAAACTAATAATAAAACATAATAAGTTTCAAATAAAACAAATTGCTAGCTAATTTCAGTTCAGCCTTCAAATCAATTTGTTCTCCTTCACATTTTAATTTTTTTTCTCAAATTAAACGGTAATTTATGAAACTTAGACCTTCATTGAAAAGGAAAACAGTTCATGTTTTTAGGCAAAAAGTTTAAAGCAACAAAATTCGTAAACATACTAAACTTTAAATATTCAAAGCAAACTTGCCGTATATTTCACGATTTCCCATAGTAAATTTATTATTCTCATTTCTTCAAACAAAATTGCTTCAAGCATGTTGTGTATGAAACGATTTTCCAAATATATGTCTTTTAAAATTGAAATCTTGCTCATCCCTCTCCTACAAGCAATCAGCCATATTTTTAGATCAGTGAGGATGACCACTCAACATCATCGGTGACCGACGCCCGTGCTCATTGATGAACTTTAGAATTTGCTAATGCTTTCGTTTTCCCGGTGTAAATAGCCGGGGGAATTAGTACCTTCGCTCCAGGCTTACGCCTGGTACGACGCTATGTGCCGTTGGCGCTATGTGCCGACGCTATATGTCTTTGTTTACTAATCTTACTTTACTCTCGTGTTCCTTCTTTCTTACTTTAAACAACCTCGACGTTTCTCCTACATACGCCGCTTTCTTACACTTGCATGCGATCTCGTAGACAACATATTTTTCTTTTTCGCCAAGTGATTGTTGAGCCGTCGCCTTCAATTTCTAATTTATTTACGTTATTTTCTGCCTTCATTCTTCGCTACAAAAATCTGTTAAACCATGATATAATTGGAGAACGATGGTTGTGAAAAACAGATTTTTGACGACCCAATTTCTGGGTTTTCTCCAGCTATTTACTCCGGACTCTCGCAACCAAAAGATAATCTGTCCGAAACTTGTTTTAACATGCAGAATAAAATTACGTCTACTCAAAACAATTTAAAATGGATTGTCCAGGTCCGTTTTTATTGTTGCGGCGGTTCCAGTCGTTTCGTTTTCGTTCTTCAGGTGGTTTTGTTTCTTCTCGTTCTGCGCTGAATATTTATGTTACAAAAACATGTTGTTTGTTCTGTATAATAAGTACCCATGCAATCTATATTTATCACATTAAATTAACGGATCTGTAAAAATGAGCAGTTTCAAAAGTGTTATTATACATCCTGTAGTACTGTAAGGCCTATTAGTGTGGAATTTGAATAATTAAATTGCATTTAATTTAACAAAATACAAACTTCCATCCCCACCTGGCGTTGGATAAGTTCTGGGAGCTTTAGTACTTTTAGCTGGAAGAAAAAATGCGTACACGTTATTAGACTAATTTGTAAAGAAAATGATTTAGCTAGTAATTATGCCAGCATTTAAAAACTAATTTCAGAACTGTAATTTCGATATAATCGATCGATGATACCATCCATGCCCAGTGTAAGACCGGCTCATAATTGAACAATAAGTGTACAAGTTGCATGGGCAGGTTGGACAGGTAAAATGATGAAAGGTTATCATAATTGCAAAATGTATCCAAATGCATCGATTACCACCGTGACCAGGCATATTTTTTAAGCTTGCCCGGTGCAACATTCAAAGTAACATCACAAGCATCATATTCACCTGAATACATTAAGCCGAGACAGAAAATATCAAGGTATAGTATAGGGTAATAGAATAAAAAGCATGCAGGAGAATAAGCAAAAAAAGGGGGGGGGGACAAGGCAACAAAATATAATAGAGTAACAAGCATGCAGAGAAATAAGCACACATAAGCAAAGCAACAAGGTAACAATAAGATAATAGGGTATAATAAGCATGCAAGTGAATGAGCAAAGCGAGAAGGTGACAAGATAACAGCAAAATTGCATAACTTGCGCTCTTAAAAGAGGCATCATTAGCGATCGCTTGAATTACTTATTGAAGAGGTTGTCGTTCTTGTATTATATCATTGATATAATTCATTCATAACCTACTCTATCTGTATTAATCCTTAGTTATTTAGGGTTAATTAATATCACAGTGGATTTCGAATATTAATTTAATATATCAACGGCGGACAGGGGCGGATCTAGGGGTAGTCAGATTAGTCACGCGACTAACGTAAAAAAAGGCACATAAAAAAATTTGGACTAAGGTTTTTGAATTTTTTCCCAGCGCAAACACTTCTCTTCATTTCTGGTCAAGCAATCAAAACTCTATCACACTCCAGCATATAAACTTCGATCAATTTTTGCACATTGAGCCAGCGATTGATTAGTCAAACGATAAGTCAAATAAGCGGTATTCAAATGAAAATTGACTATTCTGCGTTTTAGTTCATGTGATTTGATTGGTCAAATTTGCTCAGATTACACATTACAGGCATGTTGATTGGGCAGACCTATTTTGACTAACGATTGCGAAATTTTGACTATTTTGACTAATTCTGCAAATAGATAGCAGCTTCTGATTGGACAATTTTCGCAAAAGAGTTAAAGAACGTCTCCTCTGATTGGCCTTCTAATCTTCAATTTGGAAGCATTGTGCACTTGGTAGCTTTTTTGCAGTTCTGTACAATTTTACAAGCAAATTATTTTATTTGTATTTATTTACTATTATCGAAATGAACGACGTAGATTTCGAAAAGGTTAGATCGTTATTTGAAAGTGACGATAAGGAATGCTTACTGGTGTTCTGTGGAGAATATTTCAAGCAGATAAATTCGATGGATGCAAGAAAATTGTCTTGGCCGAAACTATCTAGCTGAGATGTGTTGATTTCTCGAATTCTCGACGTCTATTTCAGGAGATTATAAAGAGGTGTATGGCATTATGGCAATAAGGTAAAGTGGTTTGAATTTTGAACAATAAATCGTTGAATTGAACGTACGATTTGCATAATTGTGCGAGGTTAGGTCCCAAGTTTTACATACTGCATACATATTCATTATGTGTATAAAATTAAAACACCTCAAGTGGCTGAGTAGTGGCAGAAATTTGATCTCAAATATTTGATCATGTTGGATAAAAAGTATTTATTGTGTACATGCTTTATAGAGTATTGATTGACTGATAATAGCTCTGCAAATGTACTTTATAAAGATAATAATAATATAATCTTTGGTTATATTTTTAGATCTGATGCAACTGGCAATTGCTTGTATAGCTCTGTTTCCTAAGCATTGACAGGTACCAATGACCTAATTTGACCTTGATAGTTTAAATGTTTACAGTGCAAGTGTGAAAGGTCTATTTCGGCACTTATAGGACACTAAAAGGCTATAAGCGAAGCACTATGGTTGAAGACTACTTAAATTAAATGACTTGGCTTGGTCATGATGCAAATTCACCAGGAAATTATTCCTAACATATGTACTGTAGGAAACGTTATTGATAAATTTTCTGGAACATGTGGTTAAAGTTAAATATCTCGGCTTGCAAAAAGACCACTCTCGCCTCCAATAGCAATAACCTCACTCTTGTACACAACACTGACATGAGAAAAAACTTCCTGGGGTTTGGATTCTTCATCATCAACCAAATTAGCCTTTCAAGATCACCACCTTCCCATAATCCCCCCTCCACCCCCCAAACATTCGGGCTTTGTAGACAAAAGCTGATGCCAAATATCGGGTCTGATCTCATTGGCTTGAGACAGGTCCATTGCATCTTGAACCAGTTAAATTTTCAACAGACCAGGGCTTGAAATAACAACTGATCACCAATCAATAATAGGCAAGAAATTGCTTATGATCGGTGGAAAAGCAGGGTTTCCAAACTGAAAAAGCAGGGAAAGTCATGACTGCCGACCACCATAATCGGGAACTTTGGGAACATTATTTCAGGCCCTGACAGACAAACTCCATGTTGATAGTATGTGACTGTCTATATACAGTATGTAAGCATAGTATAGGAATATAATAGAATACTGTGTTAAAAACCTTGCCAATTTAATATTTCAAATAACTAGATAAGTAAAGTAATAGTCATTTGTAATGAAATATTTTGTATTTGAATCGACTGTGATTAAAATATGTTTAAAATGCCAGCTAAAATAAACTTGTTTTCAATAAAAGTTGGCTTCCACTGAAGCTGCAGCTTTGAGGCACCATTTCACTTGCGATATTATACATTTTCATAGTGGACAGTATATAACAAGATGATGAATTTAATTAGATTAGACATAGGTTAGTAATAGGAGGACTGGGGAAGGGGCTAAAGGGAAAAACAAGGCAATTTCACATCCATGAAATGTCCAGTATTGTCACCCATTTTTAACCAAGCTCCTTTTGCTGCGGTGAAAGGTGTGAGGTGGGTTTATGGCACCTTAAAACCAGATTGCTCATTTTAGGTGGTGTTCATTGTTCATTTTATTGTCACCCATTTCTAAGTTCTAGCCAAACTCCCTTTGCTTTTGCAAAAGCTGTGAAGGCAAGCAATCTGGTTTTAAGGAGCCAGAAACCTGTGCTTGTGTTCAGCTTTTTCAAGAAGCTGTCCTTGTTGGATCACGGTTTACTATTTTTGGTAAACGTGTTTCCTATAGGCATGCTGATGAACCAAGGTATACACTGTAGGGCGAAACAGTCTATATATTAATATATCATATGCTGAACATTGGCAGGTACGAAAATTATGTCATTTACGCATTTGTAGTCTGATAAAACAAAATATCTATACTTCCACAAAAATTGGACTATCATCCTGATATCAAATGACATCATGTCAAATGACGTCATCACATTTTGCGTCATCGATGACGTCATAAAATTTTGACTAACGTGCGAAAAATCCTAGATCCGCCCCTGACGGCGGATGATGAGCCTAAGGATAATTGAAGCTAAACTATACACCACTTTAAGGAAAAGCGAAATAAAATTATCATTGGCTTAGTCCCAAAATTTGTGCGCGTATTCACCGTTGGTTATTTTTTTTTTATTTAAACAATATTTAGATACATTTACCCCAAGAGCTTAGAGCTCATCGAGGGGGTTCATGCAAACATAAATTACAATATTACATTACTATTACCAACACAAGTACAGACAAAAAAGGATCGCTTGGCAATTGCATAAACATCCTATGCGAAACGTGCAGAACTACCGATATACCATTGTACTTCAGAGAAAATTGCAGCATTTACTTCAAATTTATAATAATACTTATCAACTTAATCCAACGTATGACTGTTCCCGATATCGTTGTTGACTGTAATGGTGGGCATGCAATGCTATTCAACGGTAAAAGATGCTGGAAATATATAATGAAAACAAAATAAATAAATAAAACATAACTTACTCTTCGACTTCTTGCAAATTACATCCTTGATCTCGTTACAGTCTCTATCACTCCAAAGGCCTGTGTCTGGATTCATTTCTACGCAGGCATCAAGCCCGTTGTAACTGTCTGGTTCACCAACGTCCCAGTTAGTATAACGCACTGGTTGACCATCTGACCACACATGACCTGTCATGATAGCAGGGAATTAGCAAATAAACTTAGAGAAAGTTATTCCTGAACCTAAGCGTCAGGCTCTATTTAACAAATAATAGCCTGACACAAACATTAATCCGATCGATTTCCATCCACAGCAAAGTTTATATTTAGTATCCAATCAAAACAACGCAGGAGAAGTTTAAATTTCACACAACGACAACAATTTTTTAACAACTTTATTGGTTAATATTTATAAATATGTACAAATACATTTGAAAATAACCAATCGGCAAAGGCGCGAACGGGACTGAAGTACCCATGCGAGGCGCCTTCCCGTTAAAATATAACGATAAAATATAAAGGCTAAATAGTAAATTATACTGTAAGTAAAGCCAATTCTGAATGGAAAGAACAGTTACGAGACAGTGACCATGTGCACGGGAAGTCTATGTTAAAGGATGTATTGAATAAAGTCAGGTATGTTTGCTTGAGTAATTGTTTAAATTATGCCATGTTGGAAAAGCCATGCAGATAGGAGCTGTTTTGCAAATAGTGTTCCAGTGTTTGACAATCGTGTTGTAGAAGAATTCCTGAAAAGCGTTTGTCTCACAACGTGGAGCTTTCATAACTAAAGGAATCTGGCCGTGTCTGGTGCGGCCATGGCCTAAAAAAAGCATTATATTTATTGACGTTCACGTCGATGTACCCATATAGGGCCTTGTAGAAAAAGGTTAGGTCTTTAATTTCTCTGTCGTAGCATAATTTTGAATTTTAATTTATCAACATTTGTCACAAAAATTACAATATTAGCGACAGGAGGAGAAACAGGATAAAATCCCAATTGATATCTTCCCCTTACATGCAGTTAAAATATCTAAAGTTATTTAATGTATACTATAATATATATAAAAAGCAATAATGAAAAATTATCTAGTACTAAATTAAGGCGGAGAGTATGTTAAGAGTTTTTCATTGTAAATAGAAGAGAGTTGCCTCCTAAAAAGAGCAACACTCCGATTACAAGTTTTCAACTCATGTGGAAGATTGTTCCATAATTTCACTGATCTTGGAAAATATGAATTTTGATAGTAACACTGTTTGTGGTTAAATAATTCACGAAGGTTATAACTATCTGTTCGACGAGTATTATAATGGGGGCAAACAGGCTTGTATAGACTACCAAAGTCCACGTTAAGTATCCCACATTTATGTTTATATAGAAAAATTAGATCGGAGATCTCTCTCCTAAATTCAAGTGGCAACAGGTGCAATTTTAACAATCTGTCCTTGTAGGAGATATCTCGGCTGTAGTGATTTAAGATAAATTTAGTTGCTCTCCTTTGAACATTTTCAATTAGTGCACGTTCCTTTATTGTGTACGGAGACCAGAGATTTGAAGCGTATTCGAGTTGCGACCTTACCAGAGTGATATATAATAGCTTCCGGGTCTCTTGATCTACTATATCCTTGCCGCAGACACGTTTAATAAGACCTAGAGTTCTGTTGGCCTTTGCACACATCTGAATGATATGGGTAGACCACGATAAATTATTGGAAACAGTCACTCCGAGGTCTTTAGTGGCAATTGCCACTTGTAGATCTTGTCCCCCAAGGTGATAATTTGTGTGGGTATGGCTTGGTGTTCGTTTCCTGGACATGTGCAGTACCTGACATTTTGAGATGTTAAAAGACATTTTCCAATCCTCACTCCATTGAAATAAACTGTTAAGGTCAGACTGAAGTGTAGCAGAAGAACTTCTAGACGACATAGATCTGAAGAGTTTAGAATCCTCAGCAAAAAGAGCTCACTTTGATTCACCAGATAAACAGTCCGGCATGTCGTTGGCATAGAAAATAAATAATAGAGGCCCTAAGATTGATCCCTGCGGTACTCCGGATGTTACAGGCAGCCAGTCTGAGAATTCACCCTCCAGCATTACACGTTGACACCTGTGAGAAAGATAGCTGTCAAACCATTGCAAGAGAGGACCTCCGATTCCATGACCGTTAAGTTTGTTCAATAATAGGTTGTGCGACACTTTATCAAAGGCCTTTGAAAAATCCAGGTGTATAACGTCCACCTCCTGACCGCTCGCTAAAGTATCCAACATATCATGATAGACTGTCAATAACTGGGTCACTGTTGATCGACCTTGGATAAATCCATGTTGAAGGTTATGTATATGAGATTTAAAAAATGGAAAGCAATGATTAAAAATGCGACGCTCCAAAACCTTGGAAATGATACATAGCAATGAAATTGGTCTATAATTCATTGCTAGAGTTGGATCATCTTTCTTATGCACAGGTGTGATGTTTGCGCTCTTCCAAGATAAAGGAACATAGCCTTCTGATAAGGATTGGTTAAAAAGCCGACAGAGTGATGGGGCAATAGCATTGGCTGTTTTTACCAACAACATACCGGGAATATTGTCCGGACCACACGCTTTGTTTGGATCTAAGCCCTTTAAAATTTTTACGACTTCAGATATAGTCAGTTGGATTTCAGTCAGTTGGGTAAATGTCGAAGAAGTAGATTCTGTATTCAATTGTTGGATAAAGTTTTCTTTAGGAGAGAATACAGAGTGAAAAAAACAATTTAATTTGTTAGCTTTAGCAGCCCGATCAATGATGAATACTTGACCATCGCGAAGGAAGTGAGGCGAAGCGGAATCTCGTGTAGATGACTTTACGAATGACCAAAAGCGCTTGGGATTCTCAACAATGGATTCTTTAAGCTTACAAGCATGCTCTTTTTTCTTCTTTCTAATCAATTGTTTTATTGATTTCCTTAAATTTTGGAACTTAATAGTGTCATTAACTGAGCCCGTTTTGTTTGCTTTCTTCCTCATGATATTCTTTTGTCTTAACAGAGACAAAAGGTCAGTATCGATCCATGGGTGATTATGCACATTTTTAATCAGACATTTAGGAATGTGTGCATCAATTGCCAATGTAAAAAGATCACACCAGTTCGAACAGGATGAATCAATATCGTTGGGAACAAAGCACATGTCCCATGGGATATGGCAGAGTGTTTCATTTAGCCCGTCCCAATCCCCCTTTTTGAAATTATAGACAACTCGTTTAATTTTAGGTTTTCGTGATATCCATAGATTCAAATCAAAACTTATCAATTTATGATCCGTAGACAAAATACCATCAAAGCCAATAATATTAGTTACCTTGTCTGGGATAGTTGTACATATGAGATACAGAATATTATTCCCTCTTGTGGGAAAGTCCACCATTTGCCACATGAAGTTATCTTTAAGCATCTTAGCAAAAACATTGTGTAAAGAATCACCAGAAATCGCTGTGCCGTTAGACCAGTCTATGTTTGGTAAATTAAGGTCCCCGCATAACAAAATCTGGTCAAAGTGGGAATCCGACGCACGACGTAGGGATTTCTTTAGTTCCTTTAAATAATCTCTATTCTGGTGGTCTGTAGAATACGATTGCTAGAATTTTTCGACGAGAGTCAGGTCTTAAATCGCAAGCAAGAATTTCAGCAGTGCTCTCGAGGTCCTTTCAACGGAGACTTTTTATCGCATTTTTTACTGCAAATAAAACTCCACCACCAGTTCTGTTTAATCTGTCTCTCCTGTAGATCGTAAAATCAAAACCGGGAAGTTTGCATGTTTCAACGGCAAATATGCAGTCCGTGTCAACAGCTAATGCTTGAAATTCGTTGGTTTTATTGACTAGACTTCTGGCATTAATGTACAAGCACCGAATATGCGTAATATTTTCTCGTTGGCCTGGACCAGGTAGTGGATGTATGTCCCCGCTCTGACTCATTGTTATGATGGAAGGATTATAGGATGCCATACAGTTGGCATAGTAATTTAGTCGTCGCTTTAAAAAACCAAGTATATACAGGCTCGTTGAGGCTGGTGTATTGATTCGATGAAAAATAGCTATAAAACCACAATTCGCGGTGCTATTTACTTTGTCTTCACTGACCAAATCAACATCAAATAGCTTTACATTTGTGATGTATTTAAGATCGACGTTGGGTTTTACCAAGCAGAAAAGTAATAAAGACAGGAGCAGCCCAAAGGCACATCTGTCCGCCATGTTGGCACGATTTTTCTTGTTTGTTTTTAACTTGTAATAAATTAAATTGAATAGTTGGGGGCCATTCACAAAATATGTGACGCCCTGTTTTGCCAATTTTTTACCCTGAAGTCCATACCCCCGTGACATTGTGTGATGGCTAGCACTACACCCCATCGTAAAATATGTGACTTTGAGCCCAACAAACATCCCTCCCCCAAAATGTACAGTATACACACAAATTTAACATGCAATAGCACGTTCAAAACGTTACCTAATCGACACTATTTCAATGCCTTAATTAACCTCGGTCTAATCAGTTTCCCACTCAGTTTCTTTCCACTCAGGCAATATATTTTGATAGAAAACATTGATTTGTCTTCTAAGGGCCACATATTTGCAAGCAGGATCTTATTTTTTATAGACAGGGATAAATTTCCCCCTATAAGCCTGTCTGTCATGTGATACCCCCTTGTGACTATGCGACTCCTGTTCAAACACTCCACCACATATTTTGGGATGACCCTATGAATTGTATTGGCCAAATACTAATGACAGCCCTGGCCAATTATGTGTGCCACATAATTATTAAACATGATGGCAAGAAGAATATCTACAACCGTTGATAGTAAAACTTTCATATCTGTGGTTTGGATAACACATCAGTGAGATGTGGCAAGTCTGATTCCTATTTTGTGATATTACAGTTGTTATGAAAATTGTTGGGATCTTAATTTAAGTTACAGTAGGAGTCTCCACTTTTCAGTTAGATTGGTGTTTGCTCAATAGGGTTCATGATTATATTATATACTGTATAATATATCCACTGAGCTGGGAACAGAGCAAAGATTGTGCTGGTTAATCAAAGAGAAAAATAATCAGTTATTTACAAAACGATACTGTACTGTACTGTACAGGTATTGATATTGTATTGTGGCAATCAAATGATTTGAAATTTCGGCAACAATTGCGCACAGCTTTGCATTGCCGTCGCAGAGCATGATACACAAGCAATTTCTTTCTTGTGATGGCAATGCAACGATTTTACCACCATTGCATTGCCATCGCCAGAAAAGTATTGCCTGTGTATCCGTAGCTTAAACCATCAAGATTGTTCTTTATTTCAACCGAAGCCAATGCTGAAAAGCTCAAATTTAAATATTTTGTAAAGTAGCTATGAATGAAATCTGTTGTTCATCCGACATCAATGACAACACTTCGAACAAAGAAGTGATACAAAAAACGAACACTGTAGTTTGTATATTTAAGAAGAAAAAAACGAACAGACACTGTAGTTTGTAATTTAAGAACCAGCGGGTGGAATTGCCTCAGCATTTTTTGCCGAGGCAAACTATGAAAAATCGCAATTTGTCTCGGCAATTGCCGTGAATTTTGAGGGTTGCTTTTAGGTATTTTGCCAGGGGAAATGTCAGCAAAAGTTGTCGCTAAGTGTTTCTGGCACTGTCAAGTAGAGGATGAATTAAATGAAAGAGGATTGAGGGAGAAATGGGTTTTCAAAAGTGAGCAAACTGATGATCATACTGGCAATTATGATCATTTTATGGAATATGTTGACAGAAAGTGTTCTGAAGAACTGTATTTGCATAATTGTTCAACACATTGCAGGCAATTTTGTTTTGCAGGCAGTTCAACACATTGCAGGACATTTTTAACTATGTAATTGGGGGCAAAGCTCCCCCCCAGTGCCCCCCCCCCACTCAACTATTTTTAACTAAGATATAAGCAAAACATGTGAATCTTGCATATGTCCTGTCTTTTATCTTTAATGCTAAACATTGTGTTGTAAATACCTTATTAGATTTTAAACATTTTCCAGTGGATTTTATATCCCAGACTCTATAGATGGCAGTTGTTGGAAGGCTTGACTAAATATGTTAGTGATTGCAGGAAGCAGAGGGCCCCAACCTCATGTTTTATGAAGGGGAAGGAATAGGTTTTGTCCCCCCACCCAAAAAAAAACAAAAACAACAATTGAATTCGAAACTAGAAGTATTTGAAATCGTACATATATTACAGTCAAACTGGATATTCTCTTGCAAGCAACATTGTTCCACAATATTGCAATTTTGATCATCTGCCTCGGAGCTGCAACCGATGCAAACAACATAAACATACCATGCAAGTACTTAACTGAAGATTCAGTTTATTTACAGCATAATATAATGCTTTATATCCAAAAATATGTTCCAGATTTGCAGTCCTATGAGTAGAAAAATACAAAAAAATTCTGAGGTAGAATACCCCCAGACCCCACACTATTACATACAATACCACAGCAAACCTTTTGTTATCAACAACCATCTGTCATCTCTCTACACTCAGTATAGTATGGGTCCTTTTTTTAGATCCCCCCCAAAGACAAATTCGTCTTTTGTGCATGCAATGTGCCAAGACTCTAAAGTTGATCTTTGTGGTCATTTGCTCACGCATGATTCGCAATATTAGAGTCACTCTTGCATTTCCCCACATTCCCACATTTCATTTTCCCACTTTTCCTCTCAACAATTAATCTGGTAGACTACATTCGTCTGATTCTCAGGTAGTGGTCGGTCTTTCGTTGAGGGACACATTTGTTATAGTATGCAGAGAGGTTTCGTAGTTACTCAGATTGTGTGAGGTTTTAGAATGTGGTTCTGGTATTAGCATGGCATTGTTTTGAACTTAGACTTTGGTGGGTTCTTTAACTTTTGGTATAATATATCATTTATAGACCCTCCACTCAGGGGATTCATTGAAATATTACCCTCATCATCACTTCGGCTAATATTCTGCCAAATCCTTCTCGCTTGTGTCTATAAACGATAAATAGTGAATGAGGTATAGAAAAATTATATGAAATATATAATGAGTCCACATCTTCTTTAATAATTAAAATTATTGAAATATTATCCATAATGGATATTAATTTAATTTACCAGTTAAGTGTCATTTATTTTTTACTTCCATCAATATTCCATTCTGTTCTTGCTAATTTAATTTATTCAAGACCAAGAACTTATAAGAGCTATTACATTGAGCAGCAATTGACCATTTGCATAATAGACTAAATTTTGATCTAGACAATAATTTCATCACAGCTTGAAAGAGCATCACAAAATTAGTAATAGTCCAAAGTTTCGTTGCGAAATGTTGTAAAATGTGGAAAATATAGCCTTGCGAAGTTTGCAATTTTCAGTCATTTTAGAGTACAAACGGGAAATTGACAGCCCGATACGCTTTGAGGCTGTCAATTTCCTGTTTGTAATCTGAAATGACTGAAAATTGCAAACTTCGCAAGGCTATATTATCCGCATTTTACAACATTTCGCAACGAAACTTTGGAATATTACTAATTTTGTAACGCTCTTTCAAGCTGTGATGAAATTTTTGTCTAGACTTGTTTAGATCAAAATTTTGTCTATTATGCAAATGGTCAATTACTGAGTAATTTTAATGAAAATATTAAAATAATTATGGTGCATATGTAAGAAAAGGCAAAATGCCTTCCTTTTTGTCATACTAGTGCACAAAATATAGCAGCATGCCAATAGTCAAAACCAGGCCATATTTGACAAATGACAGGTGAAAATACTTTTCAAGTATGAATTACAATAGTTGAAATTTAGTTGATACACATTTCTTTCCTTTCATTTCTGTAACACGTATATTACTAAATGGCAAAATTTTACAAACCAATTCAGGGATGCCAGAACAATAGAAAGGCAGGGGGGGATTATTTCAAAGGGCACTTTACCGATAAAGAATTGTGATATTTAAATTTCTGGGTTGTAGGCCTTCTTTATAGTACATATTACAGAGAAAACAATATCCATTCGACAAGGCTGTAATCAGATCAGAAACTTTAATCATTAGTCATTTATACAGTAGTTAGTACCAGTTCTAAAATAGACACACATTTTCTGTAAATGTACTAAATATTCAAAGATATGTACTGTACTGTTCACGACCATGTACGTAATTGCGATAATATATTTAATTCATATGATATGGTATCTAGTATATGTGTAGATAAAAGGCAGGCGAACAGCGGAGCATTTTATAAATGCATGATTGCTACCGCAACTAATTATAATACCCTAAATTAAAGTATACCAGACTTTTAATAGATCTGTGAAATGAATATGTTTTCACCCCAAGGTGTTAGCCCATATACTGTCTGTTTGATGGACTCTTCCCAATTGAAGTAGTTAAGGGGCTTTCCCAACTGGATCTACTGGAAGATTTTCATTTTCTCTGATGAGAAAGTGCATTGCATCTGATTTTATATTATTATATCAAAGAACGTTTTATTTACTTTTTCCCATTAACTATTTTGTCAAAATGTATTGCGTTTTATTCATATTGGGTATTGAAATGAAATGTACAAAACAAAGTGTAATCG